GTATTCCCGGAGTCTGGCTTTGTCAGCTTCCAAACTTAATTCAGGTTTCATGTTATTCAAAATAGAAGCTGCTATATATATTAAATAACCTGCAGGTAGAAATTCCTGGTTGTCAAGCAAAGTAGATAGCGATGAATTTGGTCCCATGGTGAAATTGAATAAGCGATCGAGCACACCCTTGGCTGAGATTTTATCCATAGGGGCATGTACGGTTGCGTACAAAGTCACCTGAGAAAAAGCTCCTAGAGAGTCATACACCTGAACAGATATCTTCATGGCATAACGATTAGCCAACACACCCACAGGGAGAAAGGAAGGGGGCGATGTGGACTCATTCCCCAAATACAGGATGGCCCCCAAGGTGTTCTCTTTTACAGAACTGATCTGACCCAAACCATACAAATCAGAGACTACCATTTTGTATGTAAGTGGTATGTTCTCATCCTTAAAATCAGAGCACCGGATGACAAACCTGGTAACAAAGGCAACTCCTGTAGCTGGATTAATGCTGCACTCTCCGGTTTCAGGGACATGGTTGATAACAAAGGGGTGCTTCAAGTCCACGTTATGCCCACTCCAACTTGCTAGATGCACAGAAGCCCAAAACTTAGCTTCAGGAAAATCCTTCAAAGCAAAAGCTTTTATAGACAAATGAGCCCCATTCCTCCCTGTTGTGGTGTGTTTCGCCCAATCAAAGTTTACCTCATCCCCCAGAGATGACAGAATCGACCATTTATACGCATCTTGCCTTGTTGAACCATTTGTGCAATTGAGAAACAAAGAAAATCTGGCTGAAATACCCAAAACGGCATCACAGTTTTCAATACACGAGATGTTTGCTGTGGGGACTGGTCCTTTGAGCACGTGTACCTTTCTATCAATATAGCCTGTCCTAGCGCCCTTGCGGATCACCATTCTGAAGAAATACACACCTCCACCTTTCAGTGTTCCCGGCTGAAGTGTGAGGACAGGGCCAGAGGCCTCCTTCCAGTTCAGATTAGTCTGCTTTGGGGTGCAGACGCTGTTGCTCATCACTGTGATTTTATGTCCCTGGTAGTTTTTCGGATCCGTGGTACAGTACCAAGAAAAGAGGAGTCCCTCCGAAGGGCTGTCCGAATCTGGATCAGACGACCCCGTTCCATCCAGAACCAGCTGATCTGTGAATTTGATTGTTATGTTGGGACCCCCAGGAATAACTGCTTCTAGGTCACTTCTAACGATGCTGACATACATGAAATCTGAGGCCGAGGCCTGAGGCCAATTTCGATTCGCATAGATGTCGATTACGAATCTGATCACATACACCCCCCAAGTTAAAGATTTTGGAGGGATATGCAGAAATGTTGGCGCCCTCCCTGATTTTGTGATTGGTATATCCAATGGTCTGTACCACCGGGGCAGATCATTTAACGAGCGCACAGAAAACACCTGCCAGTACGAAACAACTAAGGTGGAGTATGGACAGTTGTACTTGTACGTGGCATTGAGGGTAGCCGCCATCTTCCTGGTCAGCACCAAGGGTTCACCATCTCTGTTCCTGTTGATCTTCACCATGGTGATCGCACAGGGCGCGTCTGGGGATACCTGGCAGGACACGGAAGACTGGATGGCTTGAGGCCCATCCGAGTTGACAGCTTCCAGGACAACAGGCGTGGGCCCATCCGTGGGACACTCCGTTTGGGCCACGAAGCCCGCGGAGGGGCGAGGCCCGGCGGCCGGCAGGTCGGAGGTGGAACGGCGGGGGCGCCGAGGGCCGGCGGGCCGCAGCGGCACGAGCCAGAAGGTCCACTCCGGGCGCCCGAGCGCGCGGGGCAGCGGCGTGCGCCACAGCAGGGACAGCCGGCCGCGGCGCGCAGACAGCCGCAGGTGCACGAGCGCGGGCGCGGCGGCCAGGTGCGCGCGCAGCAGGACGCGCAGCAGGACACAGAGCGGGCGCTCGGGGCCGCGGGGCAGGCAGAGGCGGCCGCCACCGGCCAGGATCACGCCGCCGCCAGGGGCCGCGCGGGGCCGCAGGCGGACGCGGGCGCTGCCGGCCGGCTCCCCGAGGCCAGGGGCGGCCCTCCAAGCGCGCAGCTCGGCCGCGTCTCTGAGGCCCGGGCCACGAGTCCGGGAGGCTGGCGGTGGTCGGCGCGACAAGGCTGGATCAGGGCGGCAGGGTCCGGACTCCGGTGTGGCGGTCGCCCGGGAGCCGGGGATGGCAGCCAGGGCCCTGCGAGGAGTGGTGGGCCGCGGGAGGCGCCCGCGACCCAGGCCCAGGCCCAGACCCAAGAGGAGGAGGAGAAGCTGGGTTCTGGGCCGCATAGCGCCGCCTGCCTGGGAACCTGGGAGCCGCTGCCGCAACCGTGGGGTCTGGTAAACCGCCGCGGGTGGCGCGGGCCTGGAAGGGGGCGGGGGAGGGGGGGCGGGGAGGCGGACCTCAGGGTCCAGACTACCTTCGTGTCTTGCGGAGGGCTGGGGCGCAGGGTGCGGGTCAGAACTCAGTGGGTGATAATGGGTGGGCTTCCGTGGTACCCTGACCCCTGCCTGGCCGCAGTAGGCCTCCAACCAGGACTGCTCATCCATTAAGGCAGCACCAGGCTCCCAAAAGCCTGCAGATACCCCTTACCTATCCCTGGCAAAAAACCACAGGGATGTGAACTCGCTGAGAGCCCAGGGAGGTCTGACTCTGGGTTTCTTGATTTGCTTTTCCTACTTGCTTAGGATGAAACCCCAAATCCTTGTCTTTAGATCTTTTTCGTTTCTCTAGAAGCATTTAATGCTGTAAATGTCCCACCAAACACTGCTTAACTGCCTCCTGCATGCTTGCCTAGTTTTGTTATCATTCAGTTTAAACTATTTCTACTTGCCCGTTTGGGTTTTGAACCATCAGTTCAAATGGGTTGTTTAATTTCCCGGTATTTGGAGCTTGTGCGAAATCCTACAGTTATGCTGGTTTCTAACTTAAGTCAGTTGTGGTCAGAGAATACATTCCATCTGCTTTTGAGCCTTTGCATGGACTGAGACTTGCTTGAGAGCCCATACAGTAGTGTGGTCTGCCTTGCTGTATGGTCCTGGTGCCCTTAAAAACAAGGTGTGTCTCCCGTCATTGGGTGGGTTGTCCTACAGAGGTCAACTAGATCAAGAGAGTTGGTACCCGAGTGTTTCATCTTGTATGTCTTCCCTGGATTTTCTCTAGTTTTTCTATCACTCGCTGAGAGAGGCTGTTACTCTCTCCTGTGCTGACTGGGAAATTGTGTCTTTGACCCTTTCTTTCTGTCCATCTTTGCTTCATGTCTTTTCAGGCTCTATTAGATGGATACACACTTGTGTTACGTCCATGTAAATTGGTCCTTGTCTCGTGATGAGATGTTTCTGTTTACCTCTAGTAATCATCTCTGTTTGGAAGTCTGTTTCACCTGATGTTCGATGCCAGATGATATGTTGATTGTATCTGAATAAAACTGGAAAATGAAATAAAATAGCCACACTAGCCTTCCTATGCTTACTGTCCCCATGCCGTATCTTTTTTTCATTCATTTCCTTTTCAGCTTATGTATGTCTTTATAATTAAAGTGGTCTTTTGAAGGCAACATGTAATAGGGTTTTCTTTTCTTATCCCCTCTCTCTGTCTCTGAGTGCACCACCCCGAAGGATAGGCCATTGTCAGGACAGAAGAAGGCGGCCATCTGCGAGGAAAGGAGATGGCCCTTACCGAGAACCGATCATGCTGACACCCTGAGCTTGGACGTGGGGCTCCAGAGCTGTGAGAAATAAATCCTTGCTGTTCAGACACCGCCCCACTCTGCCCCCCTCCCCCACTGTGGTATTTTGTTTTAGCAGTCTGAGCTAAGACAACAGGAAACATCGGGGCTGAAAACTCAGATTGGGGTCATAGGAGGCATGTAGGGAGGAGGCCCAGATGGAGAAGGAGACAGACTCTGGCCGCCTCCCGTACTTAGGGGTGAGGCGGACAGAGACAGGCAGTGGGGTGGGAGGGAGAGTAGGAGGGTGTGGTGTCCTGGAAGTCAAGGAAAGAGGGGATTCAGGAAAGACACAGTGTTGCCTGATGGGTCAGAGCAGATGAAGATCGGGAAGAGGAGGTGCTAGAGGTGGCCAAGGCAGCGACTGGGTTTGAAGCAGGAAGGCCTTTACTGCCCTTGACAAGTGCAAGTTCAGTGTTCTGGTGGGGACAACCACATAAAACTCTGGGAAGTTTTGCAGACACGGTAGAACAAGGAAGTCAGATGGTAGGCAAAGCGGAATGGGAGTATTATAAAAGATCTAGATATCCAAAAAGATAGAAAAATAACCAAGCGCCCCCATGTGGTACTCACACACAAGTAAGGGGACAGCACTGTTGGGGCAGTGCAAGGCCTCAATGTACCCTTGAGAGAATCTTCAGCACTGGGGGTGGAGGCACCCATTGATCTGAATTCCGTTTTTCCTCCTGTCTCTGGTTTCTTTTGCGTTTACATTGGAATCAGTTCCTGAGCAATATATTATTTGCATATTAATCAGCATTACCTAATGGGATCATGTAGCAGATTTTCTTCTACAGGCTCTAGTAGTGAGTGCCATTCAGTTTTATATAACTCCAAAAAACGATCTCTAGGCATGTGTGCCGGGCAAGGCTTAAGATGGGACTCTGAAGAGCTTGCAAGTGACCGCTGCCCTAGGGCTCCCAAGGGACTCTGCAGTTGCGTCCCCAACAGGGTCCCCAGCAGGGATGAGTCCCCTTGCGGGGGTGGAGCGCCCTCGGGCCCTGCCGCCCAGGCTAGGTGTCTGATGGGGGAGGTAGGCGCTACCACTGCAGTGTACCCCTTCCAGCCCAAACCCCGCGCGGCAGGGGCGGACCTCCTTGGAGCGCCCCGGGGCCGGGCCGGTGCCGCTGGCCAGTGAGCGAGCAGAGGAGCGAGCCCGCTCCGCCCCCGCGGTGTCCGCCCCTCCCTCCCCCCTCCCGCATAGGCAAGGCTGTGGAGGCGCCTGGACCCTGATACCTGCCCTGCCACCCTCTCAGCACCATGGCCGCTCCCGCTCCCCTGCGTGACTGCCAGGTAAGTGGAGGCAGAACCCGGCCCGGCTCCACGGCCCAGGGATGGCGTGGCGCCCGCGGCGGGGCGGGATCGACCAGCATGGGAACCGAGGTCAGCTGGAGAGTTGGCCGTGAGGTCCTGGCGTGCGTCCTGGTTGCAGGAAGGGACCAGAGCACCCTTCCGTGGGACCCCCGCCGCGTGTCTCGGCCCCTCGGAGACCCCGGGACCTAAAAAGCATTAGCCCAGGCATGGCTTGGGACCCTCCAGGGGGGGGATCCCGGACACATTTTGCAGACGAAGGTGGAGTTCAGGGGCCTTGCCCCGGAGTTATGCAAGAGGTAATCTGGGCTGGGGGTGGAGGTGGGTGGGTACAGGATATTTCTCCTCCCAGGGGAGTCGCAGGTCTGTGAGGCCCTGGTAGGGCACCAAAGGCAGCCCTAAAGGTGAACAGGTGTGAGTCGTCTGATGAAGCTGAGAGAGGGGAGGCGTTGTTTTGGTGTTTGGCAGATAGCCTTGCCGGCCAGATGGAAATACCACCCTCCCCACTAAGCAGGCTAGCATTATACCCCTTTCCTGCCCTCCCAGACCTCCCTTCAGTCTCATCAGGGACTTACATGTACTGTGTGCTTGCTCTCTGAGCAGACACTGCACGGGTGCCCCATATATCCTCTAGAACCCCATGTGGGCCAGCCAAGGATCTGATAGAGGTCGTTGCCAGGAGGCACACAGCTACTCAGAGACCCCCCCCCCCGCCCCCGCATGCTGGAATTTACATGAGGCTCGCCCACCCAGGGCTCAGCTTCGTGTGCTCTGCACTGTCTCTGAAATCTGAGGGTCCATGCCCTCAAGGCTGGGGTTTCTGGAAACCCAGACTGGGTGACAAACTTCTGCATTTGGAGATCCTCTGTGCTTGGGTGTGGGGGGTTTCCATTTGGAGGATAAAGGGGTGTTCTCTTCTCGCTGTGTGTAGGCATGGAAGGATGCTGGGCTCCCACTCTCAACCACAAGCAACGAGGCCTGCAAGCTGTTCGATGCTACCCTGACCCAGGTATGCCTCCCGAGCAATGCGGTGGTCTCCGCTCTGAAGGCCCACCGTGCAGGTTTGAAAATTACTGAAGGCTTTTAGGGAACATATTTTTCATGTTTAAATGTTCGGCATCCCCTTTTTTATGCTGGCAAGTAAGCGGCCCTGAGGCACGTGAGCCGCTGTGCCCCGCGCTCCCATCTAACACAGGGGTATTTGATTTCTAGCCCAACACACATATCGCCCGATGCACTCTCATGCAAAGCTGCTGATTGATGACCACGGCGGGCACCATGCTCGAAGCTTCTACAGCTTACCGCCTTTATCAGCACTCTGGTTTTATAAGCAGCGAAGCCCATCAGCCCCGTGGCGACCCAAGTCTCCTGGTCACCGTGGGTACAGTAGGGCATCCTGGTGACACAAACACGCTTCGTCATGCTTTGAATCCCCAGAGCCCACAGCTTGGAAAGTGGCACATGCTGTTTTCCATTTCATGATGAATTCAGGAGCCAGTGACAGTGGAATTTATGTACTCTGGGGCCTGGTGTTGGAAGCATCTTTGCCGACCCATGGCACAGCTGAGAGGTGGCCCCAGGGGTGGGCAGACAGCAGTGGGGTATTTATGAAGGTACTAACCCTCCTTGGGCATCCCCCTGTGGCCTGCGGGGTTGATGTGGGTCCCCTCCACTAAGGGCCTGGGGCCCTGTACTGGAGCGAATCTTCGACTACGTCGCTCTCAGCTTGATTGTTGTGAGCCCGTCCACCGTGTTGCCAGCCATTTCCAACACCAGCAAAGGAGCCTATAGTTTTGGAACCAGGAGGGTCTCAGAGGCGGAGTCCAACTACTCTGACAGGTGGGGAAACTGAGGCCCAGGGAGCTGAGCTGGCTCATGCATTCAGGTAGGGCAGAAGCAGGATGCCCTTGGGTCTGTGTATGCCAATAGAAACCCCCAGACCCGGTGTTTATCATGAGCAATGAGAGAGCACTGCCTACTAAGTCCATCCATATGACTTAAGGACCAAAAAAGCGTTTAGAAGCCCAGGCAAAAGCAACAGCCAGTGAAATGCCGTTAGCTCGTCGCAGGCCTCCACTGTGCGCCTGCGAGCTCTGTGCTCTTCCTGCTCCTTTTGGCCTTGGTCGAGCCCTTGATTTGTTACACAGCCCGAGTCCTTAAGGTAGCATGGTCTACCCTGACCCCCACATGGCCTGTGTATATTCTGTCCCATGGGTCAAGGTCTCTGTGCCAGTCTGCGTTAGACGGCCTCCCCTGTGTCTTAGGTAAACATGCTCAGCTAGTTCTGTGAAGATGTAGGTTAGACATCGTGACGTCTAGACATCTAGACAAATGTGATGAGACACGTTTTAAAATCCAGTGTATTGGGGCACCTGGGTGGCTCAGTGGGTTAGGCCTTTGCCTTCCGCTCGGGTCATGATCTCAGGGTCCTGGGATCAAGCCCCGCATGGGGCTCTCTGGTCAGCGGGGAGCCTGCTTCCCCCTCTCTCTCTGCCTGCCTCTCTGCCTGCTTGTGATCTGTCAAATAAATAAATAAATAAATCTTAAAAAAAAATCCAGTGTATTATTATGGTTTTAGGATTTTTTTTTTAAATGAGCATTTTTATTTTATTTATTTTCTCTTGCCTAACGCAGGGACCGAACTCATGGCCCTGAAATCAACACCTGAGCTGAGATCAAGAGTCCTATCCTTAACCAACAGAACCATGCAGGTGTCCCCCAAAATAAGCATTTTGGGGGGAGAAAAGATTAGAAACACATCTACCCAATGGGGGTGAGACTGAGTTTGATCATTGGGCTTTCATGCCTCTTTCTTTTTGTCCTAAATGTTTAATAAAGTTCTTTTTTGGAAGGAATGAATAAAAGGTAAGAAGCTTCCTACTGTGGTACCGGATTTCAAGGCCCATCTTTTGACCAAAGAAGCCGCTGCTCTGGGCAGGTCGTCTGTCAGGACGAAGCTTCCTTTAGATGTTTTCCTTCCTGAAAATGGCGACCTGATCGTTTCTAGAAAACATGCCTTCAGTTCTGGGTGTTTAGTCTTTTCACATGAGACCAACCCAGGTGTGGTCGCTTGGAGTGTGGACTGTAAAGTCCTGAATTCTCTAGAGAGAAGATCCAGACTGAGACACATGCCTTCCTCAACATGAACGAAGGACTCCCTGGGGACAGGTCTGTTCTGTCTTTTCTGTTTCAGTATGTCAAATGGACCAACGACAGAAGTCTTGGTGGCATTGAGGGCTGCCTGTCGAAGCTCAAAGCCGCGGATCCAACCTTCGGTGAGTGATGCCGTCCCTGAATTGAGCCTCCTCGTGTGGGTCCAACACCTCTCTGGTTCCCTGACTTCGAGACTCAGCTGGCACGGGGATGGCAGGCTGATGGCAGTGATCGGGCTGGCATTTGCTCAGAGGGAGGGCAGGAAGGCGACAGTCACTGTTGGGCTTGGAATAACAGCTGATTTTGTACAGGTGCTGGGTTCCCCAGAAGCCATCTTCCTAATTTTTCCCTCATTGTCGATCAGTTCTGCATGAAAGATGCTGATCCCACTTCTCAGAGGAAGAAAGGGAACGAGAAATGTATCCAAAATGACCCAGCTGGTGGTTGGGTGGCTGGGACCACATAAGGCTTTCTGTATCCCGGACCTGTCTCCGGAGCCTGAGAGGCAGCTACGGCAGCCTTTCGGGACCCTGGTGAGGCTTCAGCCATGGAGACCTCGTGAAAGAATTTGGCATCCCAGATAAGCCATGTGAGTGTTGGTGTTACAGTAGTGAGCATAGCTGCCTTCCAGAGAAGCCTTGTGTGCCGCGGGCATAGGTAGGTCAGCCCAGGGCATTCTGGAACCTGCTGAGGATAGGATGCACAGAATGGGGGCAGAAGGAAGCCGGCCCAGCCTACAGGGGACCAGGAGTCAGGAGTGTGCTCAGGCACGCTGAGCAGACCTCTGGCCCCAGGATAGAAGCAGGGACCAAAGGGGTCATCCCAACACTACACTATAGTCGGATCCTCGGTCTCGGGCCTGGGCTAGTGACCGAGTTCCAAATGCCTGCAGACACCCTGGCTCTGTCAGGCTGAGGGCTAGGAAGCTCAGGTAGGGCCTGGAGGTCTGCAGACCTGCCGGCAGGGTTGCTACAAGGGTCACAGGCAGACCCTCCGTCCCCCACCGCACCCCCAAGCTCTCCATGCATGGGCGTGGCTCAGACCCACTGTGCTCCAGAGACCAGCCCCTGGCACTGGACTGAGCCCTTCCAGCTTCCAGCTTCAGCTGAGCCCTTCCCTGGCGTCCCTGTGCGGGCGGTAGTGAGTGTTGGCGGAGGAGGGAAGCAGGGCTGAAGGGCCATGGGGGCCCACGGGCAGCACCTAACCAGTCCAACCAGTGGAGGGGTGAGGGGAGATGCCCCAGACACTGGCACGCACCGCAGCGCCCTTGTTAGAAAACACTGGTTCAGAGTGCCACTCCTCGGTGTGCCACTCAGGGTCCAGCTGAGCTCCGACTGTGGTGGGGGCCCAGTGCGCCGCGCGCCAGCCGCCGGGTCAGGCCCTCCTGGGATGGGGGGTGTTTATTTCACACTCTGGCCAGGCTGGCGGGGCGGGGGCGGGGCGGGGCGGGGCCATCGCAGTCACTCGTTGCTCTCCAACCTTTCCCCAGCCATGGGTCACGCCATCTCCAACGGCCTCGTGCTGATCGGCACTGGAAGCTCCGTGCGGCTGGACGGGGAGCTGGACCGGGCCGTGAAGACAATGGTGGAGGTTTCCCAAACACAGCCGCTGACGCAGCGGGAGCGGCTACACGTGTCTGCGGTGGAGACCTTTGCCAAGGGGTGAGGGCCTCTCTGGCCGGGCAATGCCATGGGCACCCAGTACCCTCAGCAAGGGGGACTTGGGGTTGTTCTCACCCTGCCTCCCTCGGCCCTCTCCCTGCCTGCTGCTGTGCCTGCACCTGAACACAGATGAGGAGACAGGTGGCTAGGATCTCTGATTTAGCGTTCAAAGCAGCTACTTTACTTCTTTAAATGAATTGGTTATTATGTTTGTTGCAGAAATAATAGGACCACCTTAGAGAAATCCTTAATACATATACATACATAATACATGCTACATACACACCCGCGTGAGCATCTGCTGTGGCCTTCAAGGTTGTCCCCTGCCTCCATTGTCCCCACAGCTGTCCCCCTGTGTGTGGATGTCGTGCTCCTGGAGCCCCTCTCCGGGATAGCCAGTGCATCTGCTCAGGCAGGGTTGACGCTCTGCCCAGCTAGGTGACCTGAGTGGATGGTATGCGGCTTCCAAAGCAGTAAGCAAGTTGTGCCTGGCCTTTTCTGCTGGGTCAGTGCCAGTGGCCAGCCCGGCCCGGGATGGGCTTCCCCCCGCCCAACAGACTTCCTGTGGCTGGTTCACTGGCTTTGGCAACTTGTTAAACCAGTTTTTGGTTGGTTTGAATTCCAGAGTAAAGCTTCCCACTGGTTTTTCAATTTTCTGAGCCACAACCTAACATAGAAACTTTTGTGTGTGGGTGTATATATAGTATGTTCTCTCTCTCTCTCTCTATCTCCTCTCTACCCCACCTCCCTCCCTCTCCCCTCCCCTCTTGATGTATTATATGCATTTCTGTTGAACCGGTGCAGACTGGCAAGAAGCCACCGCTTCTCGGCCTCCTGTGGATGAACTGTATGTCCGGTGTCACTGAGAAATCTCTCTTTGTCTCGCAGGAACTTTCCCAGAGCCTGTGAACTATGGGAACAGATCCTCTGGGACCACCCAACGGACATGTTAGCCCTAAAATTTTCCCACGATGCCTATTTTTACCTGGGCTACCAGGAGCAGATGCGAGATTCTGTGGCCCGAATTTACCCCTTCTGGACACCCAGCATCCCCCTGAGCAGGTACGTGCCAGCTGGAAATCACGTCGTTTCTTTCTTCTTCTCCCTCCTGTACCCTGAAAACATGACCCTGCCCTAAAAATACTGAATCTACTGTGGCTATTCTCCCTATCCTTGCAAGTGAAAAGGTCTCTCCGTTTGCTGTTCATCCCATCCTATCCTATGGGTGAGGCAGTACCGTATGTATCAACCCAGGGTAGTTCTGCCGCAGTAACAAATAGCTCCTAGATCTGATTCTCCAAAGGCTCATTTCTCGCACGTACTACACACCTGTCACAGGAGGGCTGAGGGCTCTGCAACCTTGTCCTTGTTTCCCTCCTGCATCAGTGACCCAGAGGATCTAGCAGATCACTGAGGGAGAGAAGAGGGCACCCCTGGGGGACTCCCAGTGGCAGGGCTCAGAGAGGAAGGGACACACTCTGCCACTTCCAAGTCGTCAGCCGGAGCTGGTCACCCAGCCAGGGGAGGGCAGGATGTGCATCTCTGTTCTGTTCTCGGGAGGAGAGGGAGGCCCTGAGTGCCTGAGCCACCCTAGTGACCACCACACAGAATGACCCCTATCGTGTCTAATCACAGGATGGGGGGGGCGCCTGGGTGGCTCAGTCGGTGAAGCGGCTGCCTTCCACTCAGGCAGGTCATGGTTTAGGGTCCTGGGATGAAGTCTCGCTTTGGGGTCCCCTGCTTAGCAGGGAGATTGCTTCTCCTTCTACCCCTCCCCCCTGCTCATGATCTCTCTCTCTCTCTCTCACTCTCTCTCAAGTAAATAAATACAAGTAAAAAAAAAAAAATCACACGATGGTTATGTCCATCACAGATGGGCTCATGGATTAGAGAGCTGTGTTACAGAAACAGAAACAGAGCAAAGAGGGTACGAATATCTGTAGCCGTATCATTTATATGTATATACAAGTGTGTGTGTGTGTGTGTGTGTGTGTGTGTGTGTGTGTGTGTGTGGAGATTGGTTGATTGATTTTAAGGAATTGGCTCATGAAGTTACAGAGATTGGCAAGAAAGTCTGAAATCCACAGACTGGGCCAGCAGTCTGAGGGATCAGGCAGGGTCTCTGTGTTGCAATCTGGAAGAAGAATTCCTTCTGGGGACCTCACTCCTTTCTCTGAGGTCTTCAACGGATTGGATGTGGCCCACCCATGTTATGGAGGGTAATTTGCTTTACTCAGAGTCTACAGAGTTAAAAGTTAATCACACCTGAAGAAAACCTTCACAAAAACACCTAGATATTGTCTGGCTGAACAACTGAGTACCGTAGCCCTGCCGAGTGGGCCCGTGAGATTACCTCATCACAAGAGCCCAGCAGGACTGGGTAAACCATGAGCATTCTGTACATGTGCAAATGTTGCAGGTGAAATGACCCCGATAAATATTTAAAAGAAATATTTAAATATTTAAAGAAATACTTAAACATTTAAGAGAAATACTTGAGTGTTTGAAAGAAATAAATATTTGAAAGAAAAGTCTGAAAGCCAGTGTGCTAGGACGTGGCTTCTGTGAATCACGAGAGCCAGGCTTTGTCTATGAGCATGGTAGTAAGCATAATGTCTGAGTCACAAATAGGAGCTCCGTCACTCTATCTTGTTTTCCCATAATCCCTCCAAACCCCAGGAGACAATGCTTCTTTCAGCCCGGTACTCTGTGCTGGCGATTATGGCTGAGAAATCATAGGGCCCATGTATCCCGGGAAGTGTCTTCAGGCCCATCCGGGGCTGGCCCTGGGCAAAGAGGGCACAGGACAGAAGGGTCCCTGCCTCTAGGAGCTGGGGTCTGGGGAGGAGCTGCCCAGTGAGCGCAGGTCAGGCCAGGCCCGGGGCTGGGCACGCCTAGAAGCCACCACCAGCCTGCACTCACTGGTGCTTCCCCGAGAGGCGAGAGGCATCCTGGGCTGTGCCTCTCGGTGGGTGCCCCCCACCGGACAGGAAGGAAATGGCCCCCCAGCATCCTTAGGGGAGACACTGCGTTGATGGGGGTAGGGTGTGAATTGCCAAGGGGCCCGCTCTAGAGACAGGGCTTGGGGGTCAGACAATGTGGTAATGGTGCTCCCCAACGGCCAGAGTATCCAGCGACTTGGGGTGGTGCCCGGCTGCTGAGGGGGAGGTGCCCATCTCCCAGGGCTGGCAGAACCGTGCCACAAGCCGGGCAGCTTAAAACAACAAACATTCATGCTCTCAGTGTTCTGGAGGCCACAAGGCAGAAATGAAGGCATCAGCAGGGCCATGCTCCCCCTGAGGGCTCCAGGGGAGAACCCCTCCTCGCCTTCTCACCTCTCCTTAGCTTCTGGAGGTAGCTGGCAGTCCTTGGCGCTCCTTGGCCTGGAGCTGTGCCACCCCGGCATCTGCCTATGTTCTGTGGTTCCAGCGTGTGTGTGTGTGTGTGTGTGTGTGTGTGTCCAAGCCTTCTCTCCTCTCTCTTGTTTTTGGTTTTTTTTTTAAAGATTTTATTTATTTATTTGACAGAGAGAGAGATCACAAGTAGGCAGAGAGGCAGGCAGAGAGAGAGGAGGAAGCAGGCTCCCTGTTGAGCAGAGAGCCCGATGCGGGCCTCGATCCCAGGACCCTGGGACCATGACCTGAGCTAAAGGCAGAGGCTTTAACCCACTGAGCCACCCAGGCGCCCCTCTCCTCTCTCTTATAAGGACACCGGTCATTGGATTCAGGGCCGGCCCTCACCCCGTAGGACTTCATCTCCACTGCACCGTCTGAAAACATCCTACTTCCAAATTAGGGTCCATGTTCAGATGTCATTCTGGGGGACACGGTTCAGCCCATACTGAGGGCTAAACAGGCCACTTTTCCTGGAGACTTTGTTTTGTTTTCAGCTACGTGAAAGGCATCTATTCATTTGGATTGATGGAAACCAACTTCTATGACAAGGCAGAGAAGCTGGCCAAAGAGGTGAGAGGGCCCTTGCCAAGGTGCCAACCCCTCAGGGAGGGCCGTCGGGTGGGGCAGAGCACACACGGCCCCCCACCGGCCTCCTTTTCCTCAGAGACACTGGGGAGGATTCCTGGCCACGGCGAGCACAGCCTCCCCTCCCATGGTCTGCAGTCCGCACACCACCTGCCCGGGCCGGGAAGGTGGATGAGGCCGAGGGGGGCTGTGTTCACCTCTCCCTCGAGGCCCCACAGGAGGCAGCTCCAGGCTCCCCCAGCTCTGTCTGTCTCAGAGCAGAGCCTCAGGGAGATGCCCCGTGACTGCAAACGCAAGCTGCTTTCCTGAGGGCCCTGACCCAGGGGCTGGGCTCCTGCCAGCCAGCCCTTCCCTGAACCTCTGCCTCCTTCCAGAAGGAGGGAACCCAGGTGAAAGTGTAGAGGAGGGTGGGTGTGTGCTGCCCGCCAGCCCCGGTCCGTCTGTCATGCTCTCCTGGTGGGCTGGCTGGTACCCGGGCGCGTGGTGGGCACCCCTCACCAGGGGCCCAGGACCAGGCAACAGGCTGTGGCGGTGGACTTGGGGCTCGGAGTGTCCTCTGTGGTCCTTGGAGTCCCTGTCCTCCAGCCCCTGTCCTCAGGCGAGTGGAAACTGAGGCCAGGCGCAGAGGGGCTGTCATGCATACAGGCACTTTATACACAGCTGCTTAACCTGCTCACATCTACCACGAGGCACTGCCTTCCTCATTGTCCCCATGAGGGGGTCACGGCTCAGAGAGGGGCCATGGCTGGAGCCTCCTTCACTCCATGCAGCTCAGGGAGGGCACAGCAGGTGCTTGGCCGGGCCTTCTCACTGGACCGCTGTCCTTCAGGCTGCCTGGACCAGACCCGGCTTCCCACATCCCACCCAGTGCTCCTTCCTGCAGATATCGCCCTAGTTGGCCCCCAGTACCCCTCCCCAGGAGGCTGTGAGGTTTCTGAAATGTGTTCCGTTATAGAGATGGAGCCCAGACTCGAGTGCAGGGTGATGGCTCCGTGCTTCAAGGCCTCTGGGCTCCCTGGCTGGGGTGAGCAGGCCACACTGTCCAGGGGGGATCAGCCACAGGAAGGTGCCCTGGAGACCATGGCAGCTGGACCCCCTCCTTCGTTGGTGTCCATCTGGGCAGCCAAGGGCTGGCAGGATATTTCCAGAAGCAAGAGGACAGACAAAAGGTGCAGGCTTATGCCTCACTGGGGCATAAGGAGGTGGTGGCCTGGGGAGCCCTACTCTGCTGGCCTCATGCCCCTTTCTCCCGCTGCACTCCCTCCTACAGGCGGCACACTCTGACCCCAGTGCCAATACACCAGAGATCACGGAGCAGGGCCCCACAGTGGCAGTGACCGCCACGCCTCCAGGAGAGCGAGGCGCGCGCACCCGGCTCCGCTGGAGCCTGGAGAGGCCTCAGGCTGGTGGTGCATGGGGTGTGGGCTTAGCGGCTTTGAGCCAAACCCCAGGGGCAGGGAGAGCAAAGGGCGGAGGGCAGGGGAGCACAGTGCTCAGGAAGTGTGGAGCCCAGGGATAGGCTGAGGCTTAGGGCGGGGGAGGTGGGCAGGGCAGGCCCTGGGGGCAAAGGCTAGGGGGACCTACTGGGTGGTGCTGAGCCTTTGTGACTCTGACCCAGTGAGGAAACTGATCAGGAGTCCCTCGCAGAGGGTTGGCCTTAACCTTGGGAGCTGCCCCGCTCCTTACCCTGAGCGGCAGCCCTCGCGTCCACCCTGCAGAAGGGCAGCACCTCAATGGGTCCCTTCTCAGGACGCCCCTTTCTTACAGCGTCCCCACGTGGCCTGGGCGGGCCTGTGCAAACAGCGGGTGGAGCAGAGAGGCTGGGCTTGCTGGGGACAACCTGTCGGCCTAAACCCCACAGCAGGGGCCAGGCCAGGGACTCTGCCTCTGGGAAAAGCATGGGGCACCGAGGCAGCGGGGCTGGGGGAGGTCGTGATTTGGTGTGCAGTGCGGGAGACCTGGGCTCCTGTTGAGCTGGGCCACTTCAAGCCTCAGCCTACCGCTCTGTGCCTGGCATTCGGGAGGTGCCCAGGACACAGAAGCTGAACCCAGGAGGAAACGAAGAAGACAGCCGTGGGGTCGGAATCCCACCGTGTGTCCTGCCTGCCTTGCTGGTCACTGTCAGGCTCACTGGTCGTGGACGGGCCTGCTGTTCCGAGTAGTAAGATCATCAGAGTGAGCCCAGAAGGCCGTTCATCGGTGTGTGGTCGTCTGCAAGGGGGAGCCAGGAGCCCGAGGGGGGGGCAGGTGGTGGGCTCAGCATTCGGACCCTCTGGGGCACTTCACTTCTGCGGTGCTGTTGCTTCTCACCAGGGGGGACGGGCCTGCTGTTCCGAGTAGTAAGAACATCAGGATGAGCCCAGAAGGCCATTCATAGGTGTGTGGTCGTCTGCAAGGGGGAGCCAGGAGCCCGCATCAGAGTGAGCCCAGAAGGCCATTCATAGGTGTGTGGTCGTCTGCAAGGGGGAGCCAGGAGCCCGCATCAGGATGAGCCCAGAAGGCCATTCATAGGTGTGTGGTCGTCTGCAAGGGGGAGCCAGGAGCCCG